TCCTCAGAGTGAACTTTATCATTGCTGATGAAAGAACTGTGCTGGATATAGCCGGGTGATCGGTGGCACATCTCTGCAGCAGCCCGTGGTGTTGGTGTGAGGTCTGCTGCTCACTCTCCAAGTTAGGTTCAAGTGGAGATGTGCCCACATCCCCCCTCATTTCAGCTCTTAGAACCGTAGCCATCAGATAGTGAGCTCCTGTACCTCTAAGACTCCAACAACATTGTAAACAAAGGTGACCTCAATTTTAAAAAATTGTGATTTTTAATAAATCTTACTTTTGATATAGACAGAGCATTAAAATTAGTGAGTCTCTGTCAAGAAGATATTATTTAATCTAGGAACGTAGTACACTTATTTTTAAAATTACAGTTTATCTTTTGTCTGGATTTAGGTTGCTGCTGTCTAAAATAGCTGCTGTATCTGCACACAGATCAGCAAATAGTCAGTATGTGATTAAGTTAATCCCCAAAATATTATTTGTACAATAAAATTTAAAAGTTTCATTGAATCATTATAGTTACTGTAATCCTAGGTTCTTCTCTTCTTTTGAGGGGAAGTCTCCCTGAATTCTTTTAGCCTTTTATATATAAGGCTATTTTGGGCTGAGTGTTTTAAGGAAGCAGCAAGATTTGTTTAAGACACAAAACCTATATTTAGACACTCACTGTTGACCATGTAGTTTCCATGGCTAGGCTAAACTAAGTCACTAGCTGTGTTATTTTGCCAGCAATATTTATATCAATGGCATGTTTTCATTGTTTGTTTTGTTTGTTTTTTTTTAAGTCTCAGTCTTACTAAATTAAGTCACTTCCCTACTTTATTTTCTCCAAATTGTGCTTGAAGCCTGGCTTGGTTGATGGTTTTATTTCTGAAAACTGGCAAAACTAAAAATTTTGAATAAAGATACAGCAAAGAAAATAAAAAAAAGAATTGTTAAGAATATGTGTGTAAAGACTAGCAAAGGCATTGAAGAAGGACTGTAAGTGCTTGCTAGTTTGGTTTTTATTAGGACATTAAACTCTGCAAGCTTTCTGTGTTAATGCATCAGAGAAGTAGAAGGAAATATTAATGGCACTAAACTCATATCACTCATGGGGCAGGAAATAAACATGACTTCTTATGCTCAGAGAAGATGTCATTAAGCAGGAAAGAATAGTCTTTATACTGTACTCAAAGTTTATGTAAGGTACAATCTCTATAAGATAACAATAACAAAATAGTAATAATTAATGGTGATAGAAATAATAATAACTAATATTTGCATCACATTTACTATATTCAGAGGCATTTTTCTAAGAGCCTCACATGTTTTCACTTACGTAACTCCTCCAATAACCATCTGAGGTAGGTGCTATTATTAGCCTCTCATATCTCACTTAAACTTACTAGCTTGCCCTCAGAATAGGCTTTGTTATTGAACCCATTTTACGTTTGAATAAAGGTTCATTTGCCCAAGGTCATACAACTAATAAGTGGGTAAGCAGGGTTTAGTATATAGACAGCTCCAGAATCCATATTCTTAACCATCGTGGAACATATTACCTTATATGGCAAAAAGGATTTTGCCCAAGGGGCTAAATTAAGGATGTGGGCATAGGAAAATTATCCTGGATGATGCAGTTGGACCTATGTTATCATAGGTGTCCTTATAAGAGGAAGGTAGAGATTTGACAAAAGATGATGTGATATAGCAGGAATATAATGGACCAGGCGAGAAAATAATGATAATGATGAGCAGCTATATACCAGAGACATTTTGTGGGGGTGGAATGGGGTCAAAACAGTGGAGAGAGAGAAATGCACTGGACTATGGTGATGGCACAGCGGTGATTTGGTGATGGGAAGCCCAAGGGGATTGCAACTGAGATGGAAAAAGGCGCAAAATGATGTCAAAATAAACCAAAAAAAAAGATGATGTGACAGTTGGAAGCAGAGAGACTTGGAGATGCTGTGCCACTGGCTTTGAAAATGAAGGAAGGGGGGACAGAGCCAACCGCCAGCACAGCGCTCTAGAGTGGAGCAGTGCTACATCGAAGGATTTCATTTCTTCAAGCTCTGCTGGCAGTGGTTCTGACAGTGAAGTTCACAAAAAGTTAGGTAAAAGCAGGTTACTCCAGAAAAGCCTGGTAAAAGCAGGTTACTCCAGAAGAAACAGAAGGCTGGTGCGACTGTGGGAGCCCTGTCATCCTCTGCGCGACGGGCAGCAGAGCTGATAGTCTGCTTCAGATTGGGAAAATGCATACCTGAGTGTCTGGGGCTTTCCTAGTGATCTTAGAAGTGTTGGATGGGTCTGGAGGGCTTGAGGGGACTTCTTTAAATCCCAGTAATGGAGCCAGCTAAAGAACAGATTTTGACATTGATGATGCAGTTAGAAAGCTGTAAGACCAGAACATACAAAAACTGTACTATTCTGGTTATCTTTTTACATTGATTTTGTTTTGTTTTGTTGATGTTATTTTCCAAGTCGTTGTATATTTGGATTTCAGAACAGTTTGTAAGATAAGGACTTTTTTTTTACTGAAATGCTCTGACTGAGGCTATATAAAGGAGCATTGCTTTGTGCCTACCAGCTAGTATAAAATAAAATCAAGTACACACACGCACACATAGAGTAAATGGAGGAAGGGCCTCTGAGCCAAGGAATGCTCTAGAAACTAGAAAAAACAAGGAGGCAGATTCTTCCTAGAGCCTTCAGAAAAGCACAGCCTTGCTAATATCTTGAACTTGGGCAATTGAAACCATTTCACCTTGTGTTCTGAACTGTAAAATAATAAGTTGGTGTTTTAAGTTGCTAAATTTGTTGTGATTTATTGCAACAGCCATAGAAATTAATACATAGAAAACTAGGCAAGGCTATGGATAAAGATACTGGCTTTAATTAAGATTTTTTTACTATAGGTACCCTTCCCCAGAATGAGGAAGGAATGAGCTTGAATGAGCTTCAGTAATCTCACTTTATGGCACTGTCACTTTATTGCCAGAAGGAGTTTTGTGTCCTTCCCTCTTTCTATAGGAAGATTACACAGAGCTAATCTTTAGATTACATCTATTCCATACTCAAGCAGGGTAATCATTCTGGGCTCAGAGTTGACTGTTGAGGCAGAAATTATAGAAATGTTTGGCAATAAACATCATCTTTTCCTGAAAGGGGGAAGCTGTGGAAAATGAGCAGTTTAGGTCAGGTGCCAAGTTGGAGTTTTTGTTTTTCATTTAGTCCTCACACCTGACTGTGCCTATGAAGCGTAGTTAATTATTGCTGTCACCTTGACTGTTAAATGTGCAAGGTCAGAAAGCCAGTAAATAAGAAGAAAATTCAGGCTTGTCTAATGCCAAGGTGCATAATTGTACTCAGCATTTTTTATTCCAATCTAATCCTGCTGAGAACTGATTTGAGATCAGGGCATATCCAAAGGGTTTAGAGATACAGAACAGCAGAGCAGTTCAAAGTTATCCCTGACTTGGTGCAGTCTAAAAATTTGCCAGGTTCCTAGGTTGCCCTGGACATTTATGTTCTTCCTGCATTCTGCACGCCCTGGAGATGATTTAGTTCTTTGTTTAACTTGATTTTCTCTGTTCCTGTATGTGTAAGTTAAGACAAACCATTAACAGTATGTACAAAGCTAATTAAAAAGTAGTTTTCTAAAGCAGATATCTGGAGTCCATAGTTGAAACTTACATACAGCTTTTTTGTATTCCTCTGAGAGCTACGTAAATATAAAAAAATAGAAATGGCAGTGTATAGGTAGTGTAACAGAAAGGCAGCACAAGGCCCCAGGGTTATTGTTAGATTTTCACAATAGTCTTTGATTAAAACCGCTGTTCTATTTAAGAACCAATTTAAACCAAGATTGTTTTTGCCCTCTCCCTTTGTATACTCCTCCCTCTTTTTTTCTCTTTCTTATTTATCTCCCTCCCCTCACCTTTTCTTTTAACACAAACAAAAGTAATATTAGTTAAAACTGCTTTCTTGGAAATTGAAAATAACTTTAATAATTCACTTGGTGATGTTGAAAGTAGAAGCCTGTTCTTTACTGAAATCCTTCCAGATGTAGTCACCTAATTGCAAGTATGTGGGGTTTGGGGATGATCTTGTTTAATTTATTGATATAGGAAAGCATTGGTAGAAACTTATCTGAATTATTTTACTGTTAAATCAGGGATTGGCAAACTTTCCTTAAAGAGTCACATGGTCACACTGGGAAGAGTATTCAACTTGCACACATGGTATTGAACATCATGCAATGGAAAGTATTATGTATAAAGTATTACCTGGCTCCTAATGTCAGTAGTGCCAAAATTGCGAACATGGTGGTATATTATTCCATTTCATTTCCTTTGTATGTTTATGATACTTAATTGTTAAGTTTTTGCTTTAGGATGTTATATTGTACATGTTTAATTTATCATAGTCTGTCTGCAGTTGTATTTTGCTACTTCACCTGTAGCATAATAGCCTTGAAACAGTATATCTCCATTTTCTCCTCCTGACTTTTGTGATACATGTACAGACCTCACAATAAATTGTTACTTTTACCATAAACAGATGATCATCTTTAAAAAATAAAAAGCTTAACAACTTTATTAAATTATAATTAACCTACATTAGATTGCATATATTTCAGATGCACAATTTTAACAAGTCTTGACATATGTATGTACTGTGAAACTGTCACCACCATAAAATAAGGAACATATTCGTCATCCCCAGAGCTTCTCTCTTCCCTCAGTATTCCTTCCCCACCCCAGGCAGCTACTGCTCTGTTTTCTGTCACTAAAGATAGGTTTACATTCTCTAGAATTTATGTAAATTGAATCATAAACTACACACATTTTTCTCTGGCTTCTTTCATGTAGCGTGACTATTTTGAGATTAGCCATATTGTTGGTATTACTAGGAAAACAGTCTTAATGACCTATGTGCCAAATAATTGGACTGTGATTGGTAATGGGCATGCTGAATTCTGAAATCACCTAATGTGTTCTTTTTTGTTTTTTAGGTCATGACTGTTCCAGGGTTTGATGGTCACATGAGAGTACTCATCGCTGCAGATGTCATTTGACTCATCAAGAAAAATCTGTTTCAAAGAAAATATTCATACAACCAGATCCATTTCTTTTTTTAATGGCTTGATGGATTTCCTTTACTCTGATTCATACCAAAGCTCTCCTCCTCAACCAAAGCAAGAAAGGATCCTGCATGAGTCAACCCCAGAATGCCATTTTTACATCACCAACAGGTGAAGACACCCTCATGAATATCAATCACAGAGACTCAGAGAGCATCACTGGTGAGTCTAGCTTAATAAGTACTGAAGTGCTATTGCTTACAGGTAAAATGCAAATACCTCAGTGTTGCATATGAGTAGGCTTGCCATGATGAATTCACAGACCCCCCTTTCTAGCCTAGTCTCTTCGGAGACTGACTGAATTATAATCTCTCCACCCCTTGACCAGCCATATGGAATAATCAGAGCCTACCTTGTGTGCTGTTGCTGTCTTTGTCTGGCTCCCTGGTAAGCAGGAGCTGCATCATACTTGTCTTCACTTCACCACAAGCCTACAGGAGAAAGAAGACCTTTGATCATCTTTTTCAAACATTGTTTTGTCCTTTCTAAATTTTTCACACTCTGTACAAATTTTATAATCAGCTTGTCAATGTCTACCAAAAACAAGTCCTGAAATTTTTAATAGAATTATATAAACTCTGAAGTGAATTGACTTCTTAAGATAATTGAGTCTCTATTCCATAAACATGAAATATCTCTCCACTTACTTAGGTCTTCTTCAACTTATTTTAGCAGTAACTATCATTTTTACAACATTCTTATTTATGGTGGATATTATTATTCACAATATCATTATTATTATACCATAATATTATTATTATACCATAATAATAATACTATTATTATACCATATTATGAGTGTTAAATAATTGAATGTTTGGATTTTATTATCCTCCTTATAAGACAAAGATTGTTTTGGCAGGTCCTTAAGTTGCTTGCTGGTCCTTTTGAGACTTGTTTGTAATCTTTGTTATGTGGGTCTCTAGATCACACTCTAGAATATTAAATGCTTTATTTGAGCATTAATTTAACACACTATCAGTAAGCATGACCATTCTAGGATCTTCACTGATTGTCCCAACTATTCATGAGGTTTTTGTACACAAACCAAATTCAGACCTGTCTGAATGTGACACAATGAAGACATGAAGAATTGGAGGAAAATTGGAGTATAGAGAGGGCAGACAGTTTTGCAATCATATATAAGAAAAATAAAAATAGGCCTTGACCCTAAATTGAGTCAGTCTGACTAGAAAGAAATAGTCATATGGTAGAGACAATTGGAAGATAAAATGGTATAGAGGGGGCTGTTAAGGTGAGACAATCAGAAGAATATTATAGTATATTATCAGAAGTACAGAGGCAACTAGGAGATAGTCTGAAGGATATCTAGCTTGATCTACTAAACCTAGATTATATATATTCGTTTTTAAAATCACCTTATGAACTTGTAATCAAAACCCACAGAATTTCATTAATACTTACTAAAGGAAATACACTGGGAATTATAGTTTTTTCAATGAAGGCTACTTTTGTTTTTCATTTCCATTATATGCTTGAATCCAGTTTTAGCTCTACCTGTATTTGTGATCAACTTCTCTTCTTACAAGTATTTAATGGCATTCTATATATAATATAATTGTGGCTGCAAAAATTTGCCAGTTACTTGGAATTTATACTAATAAAATTTGAATGTATTTTCAGGACTTATTTACGAGATATGGTAAAAGTTGAGAGCTTTTCTAGATCCATATTTAAGCTTTTAAATGTAACTCATCTTCGTAATTATGAAGCCACTGCTTGGCTAATACTGTCAACCTTCATGTATTTGATTTATTAAATTGCCATTACTAATGTCGAGGGATCTGTTCTTTTAAGATATATTTTTGTAAAATGACCTCTGTTTTTGTTTGCCAGAGTTAGAAACCTGTTTTTTTATATGGCCCACAAAGGAAATACCATATCTGTTTAAAAGTGACAGCATTGGTAGGACCTCGGACATCCTGTGCTTTTTCTACATTAAGCTCTAGTATTTTAAGCATGGTGAAAGAGCTAACTTTCTTTTTCTTTTTTTAGTAAACTGCTAAATTTGGGAGGTGTTAAATGATAAGCAATATTTATAACAGGAAGCCAGGAGCAAACACATCTCTGTTTTCAGAGATGAGTGTCCAGTGGGGTAGTCAGAGGTGTGCAGGTAGGAGAGTCGTAATGTAAATTGTACGTAGGACTTTAAATGCAGCATATCTTTCAAATAAATATAATGAAGTACTTATGGTACCAGGGCCGGGATGTTAACATTGCTGGTTAACATGTAACTTGTAAATGTTAATTTTTTTGTAAATATCTAACTGCTGTGAGAATATACTAAACTGTAATGTTGTCCCACAGAGTTCAAATTCTGTTACTAAAGAACATGTAGTTTTACTCCTTTTGAATTGACTATTTCTACTGGTTTTCTTCTGTTCCCTTTCTCCCCTGCAAGTTTATGAATTATTTGAGATCAACTCTTTTAAGTAGAAATAGGTCAATAAGGCAGAAAAAAGATTTTTGTCTAAATTCATTTTACACTTTAAAGGCAGTGATATTCACTAAATAATACTTTTAGATAGGGTGGTGTTAGTTATATCATAGAATTCTTATACAAATGAAACTTAAGAGAAAGGCCAATTCTGATATATTAATAAACATCAGTGGAGAAATACTCTTGGCTAATATTTCTTTGGTTATCTTATTTTTGCAGAACTAATTTCATTGATATTTCTCTGTATCCAATAAATTGAAATACATTGGTCTCGTTTGTATGGGATCTCTTCTTTAGATGTTTGCTCCAATGAGGACCTTCCGGAAGTTGAACTGGTGAGTCTGCTAGAGGAACAGCTACCCCAGTACAAGTTGAGAGTAGATTCTCTCTTTGTATATGAAAATCAAGACTGGACTCAGTCCCCACACCAGCAGCAACATGCATCTGATACCATCTCTCCAGTCCTTGCTGAAGAAACTTTTCGTTATATGAGTGAGTAGTTTTTATTCTTTATGTTTTTTCCTTGAAGTAAAGATTGTGAGGATCTTGGTCTTGGCCCTGAAAATATTGACATCTCTAGCCATTGTTCATGTGTAACTCAAACTGATTTAACACCAAGATGCTGATTATGTTGTATCCAAATGCAGTTTGGCATTGTTAGGACTGAGTCCCCCCGGGGTTGTTTCCATTTCTCCCACCTTTTCCTTAATGGTTTCCTCAGACCAAGTAGAAAAGGAAACTTAAAAAAAAGTAATGAAGTTATTAAAAAAATGTTACTCCTTTAGGTCTTCCAACATTCGTCATCCAAATAGTTTGATGTCCTGTTCCACCAGGATGTTGATATCCCTTGGTAAACACAGAGGAACTATGTCAGTCATCAGAATCTAGGTTTTGGATCCATAATTAGTTAATAATTCCCAGGAGAAGTCAGTGCACACTAAGTAGTAGTCTTTATTGTTTACTTAAGGTTTCATAAAGATTATTTCAGTGAAAGACTAAGCCAGATTTACCCCGAAATGTGTTTTAAACCAAGTCCTTAGAAATGGCAAAACTTAAATAGAACACTTTTTGACTTTAAAGTATGACAACCTTTTTCTTTGTAGCCTCATTCCAAAAACCTATGTGCAGACTAGCTACTAACTCTTTATTCATTCACTATAAAAATGTGTTCACAATGCATGTTAAGATTATATAATAAAAGTCTGAATTAAATATGAGACTGCATCAGGTCTTAGAGATTTTCCCAGTGAGTCCTTCAGTGTCTATAAAGATTGTGGCTGGAGAATGATTGTTGTGAAATACTCATTTTCACAGTAATAATTAACTCGCTTTCATTATTAATTTCCAAGAGCCAGGTTACTTACTGTTCAGAGAAAGAATTGTAAGCATTGTTTACACTTAAAATGGAATATCAAGAAACTTAAAAATGTATTTCTGCTTTCAATAATTCTTTTAAGTAGTTAAATCAAGGCTTTGAATATTTTCTTAACTCTAGAGAGCTTCAGAAGTTGCTTGCTTGATATTTTCTGGAAAATGATTTTTAGTCAGAATACTATTTTTTATTTCCATTTCCCTTTATGAGTTTTCAGATTTTTGAGAACAAAATCTCAAACTGAAATTTTATCAGTATAAATTTAGTTTATCATTATCTTGATAAAGTGGCACAGAAAATGACCCTTAGTTTATTTGTTCTCTGTCTTATAGGCGGCTGAGGGATGAAACCATAGCGGTCAAGGTATCTTAGATCATGATCTAATCGGGTTGCTTTTAGAATGAATTTTAAATAAACTGATTAGGAAATAAAAGATGTAAGTTCTGAAATGTTTGGCTTTTAGGACTTTATACATTAACAAACTATAATGTTTAAGGGAGCAATTTAAAACTGAGGCTAAATAGGGTGAATCTCAGCTCCATACTTCAAGTTGCTGGGAAACAACCCTGTTTCTTCAGTCTTATCGTACTTTTTTCACTTCAACAATTTGAAGTGAAATGTATGCTATACCTAAGATCATGAAGCAAATGAGCTAGGATTATAATTGGCCCATAATACCTGATCTCTGTACTCTTTAATTTCACTCTGTATGTTAAAGATCAGTTCTTTAGGTTAATAGATCACTGAAGTCAAAATAAACTTCATTATCAGTTCACCTCAGGAATGTAAAAGTGACTTACCTTATATAGTAAATTAATCAAGGATTTAAAAAGTAAGATGTAAAACATCCTCCTACTCTTTCCCTCACTTTTCTATCCCCTTGAGATGTCACAATTTGTGGTTTTGAATAATTATTATGTGCCTAGCAAGCCATTCTAGGGCTCAGCTTGCTGGTGTTACTTTAGCTTCTTCTTATCCCTTCTTTCTTCACATGCCAATAAATATTTGGGCTCATTAAAATTAATTCTGACAACTGAAAAGAAGTGGCATGAGCAGGGGCTCTTTCTCCCTTATGTACCAAAGAAATTAAAAGAGCTTGAGAAGAAAATAAAGAAATTTGTAAGGAAACATGGACAGGGTTTGGTTTGGGCACCTAGCTCATAGTAATAAAAGGATAATATGGTTGTTCCCTGAAACTCCCAAAGAACCAGGAAAAGATTGATTGTTTTTAAATAGAACACATGTGAATACAATAGAACACATCAGTAGGTCAAGAAAATAGTTCCACCCTAGTTCCTACAACACACAGAGCTTAAGATGCTCACGGAATGTTTTTTATGCAAACAAGTTATTCCAGGGTTTTCTTAATTTTGTCAGGAGTGAGACCAATAAAGAGCTGTGGGTCAAAGGGTGCAGATAGAGCATGCAACAGAAAGTACCGTTTCTTCATGTAGATGTAGCAGGGGGTCCCCAGGAAAAAGGGAGGTCCCAGGTTCCCTGCCCCACCCAAAGGAGGATGGAGCTGAGCAGGAGAAGAATCTAGGGAAGAGTATGAGGAGGAAGCAGGATGGAGAGTCAGAAGGAGACCTGAGGGAGGCACATGGAGCAGAGACATGTGAAGAAGCGGCTCCTGTTTCTTGGCCCTGACAGGGTGAAACAGATGTGGATGAGAGACCAGGAGAGGTGACTGTGGCAGTGTTAATCTTGATTTTGATTTTACTCTTTTCCTTTCAGACTTGTCTGGTCATTTCTGACCCTTTTCCATGAGTCCCTGCCAGAAGGTGCATTAGACTTGTGGTGGGTTTTCAGGCCTTGCTTTGGGCCAATCCTTTTAGGGTGAACTTTTACCCACGAGGTGTTTGATTTAGAAACTATATTCTTTGTCTTTTCTGTATTGCACACTGACTGTATTAAAGTTCCTTTCTATTAAATGTCTTATTTTTGGTCTTGATGCAGCAGATTGTAGAACCTTTATAGGGCAGGCAGGTTTGGAGGTTCAGGGGTGCCCCTCTCTCCCTGCCCTGTAACATAAATACTAAAAATGGAAATGTGGTCTGCCTTTCAGGATATTTTTATTTGATAATAAAAGATCACTTATTCCACTTACTAATGTATAAGAAAAAGAGGGAGGGAAAGTAGTTGTTTATTTAAGTTTTATTCACGTATCAACAGCATCACTTGGGTGCTTTTAAGAAATGCAAATTCTTGGGCCCACTCCCAGGTACAGAATCAGAAATGCAATCTTTGTTTGAACAAATCCTCCTGGTAGACCTCATCACACTTAGATTTGAGAACCACTGTTGTAAAGCTTTGTTTGTAAAGCTAAATGACCATTTCAAAAGGACATTAATTGGAACAATTTAAGGAAAAGGAAGGTCGCAGAGATACACAATTGTAGAAATTTTGCTTCTGATAGTTACTTTGTTCTCAGACTCTGCCCTGACTAACCTGTACTGTCAGGAAAGGAAATATAACTTAGATGTTCAGGAAGCAAACACTGTAAGTCAGGTCATGGATGATAGGAGATTTATAATTTCTTAGATCAGCCTTCTCTGGCAGAACAGAATTAAGTCATGTAATATCCTAAAGAAATTGTCCCTCAAGTCATCATCTGCAGTAGTTCGTTCTCCTCAGCGATCCTTTGAGAAAGGTTACCCTCGGTGGTATGTATCATCAGTCTTCTCCTTTTTATGCTATCGCAATTCTTTTGAAGGCAGTTTTTGTATGGCAGAAGTGTTCTCCATGTCATAACAACAGAGCTGAAGTCTCTCTCTTTCTTTTTTTTTTAGGTTAAAAGCATAATACTTGTTGGTAGTTGTCAGAAGCAATTGTAGCTCTGCTATGCCATGTAGGTAGTGTTTGAGCTTCATTTTTGTTTTTGTTATTATTTTGTCTTTGTTTTGCTGTGGGGAAGTTGAAGAGTGGTGAAAGGTTAGAAGTCTTTTAAAATATTGAACATTAATTAGCAACCTCCAGAAATAAAGTTGCAAAATTTTTCTAAAACAATATTTATACCCCGGCCCTCCCTGATGGCACAGCCGGTTAAAGCACAGCACTAAGAAGCTAAAGCCATTTCAGCATGAGTTCGATCCCCACCCCAGAGGTGACCCACATGGCACAGCAGACCTCTCCTGACCTGCCTGCTGCTCCCCTCAGCAGTGTACTTCGATGATCTGCTTATTCTGCTCCCTACTCTGTCTCTGGTGAATCCTCTCACCGCCCTTGCATCTCTGGCCTGTACCCCAGTTCTGTATGCATAAATAAATAAATTTTTTTAAAAAAATATACCCCTATGTGTAAATATTTTTCCCACAGAGTTAAGGAAACTTCATGTCTGGAGACAAACAAGGAGCATTGCTAATTTCTGTACTTTTTTGTATATTTTTGTTTTAACAGTTGAGAACTGAAAGGGAAGTAGAATTTGATAGAATTAATTATAATAAAGTCATGCTGTGTATTCGCATTTTTGGTTACAGAATTACAGTGAAGAATTAATCAGCTTTTGGAAGCATTTAATAACAATGCCTAAAAGCCAAGAGAACACTAAGAGTTATCCAGGACTGTTGTGTCAGAAAGACAGGCAGCCTGATTAGGCTGCAGAGAAGAATCCATTGTGTTCTACATGTTTGGGACTGACTGACATCTAATTTGATTTTATTTCATCAGATAAAGAGCATTAACTGAGTGATGGTGCTCTTAATGAGGCCTTCAGAGAGGCAAAGCCTGCTGTTCAGAGCCCATTAGTCAGAATAACAGCCCCTAGCTTTTCCTTATGGCCTTTTGAAGGGAAGTCACCACACCTCCACATTATGCCATTATTAGCTTGCTTTGTGGTCTTGAGCTTGCCACATAATTGTTCTTGCCAAGATTCCTCATACAAGAAAATGAGATCATTCAAAACTAGGTAACTTCTTAAGGTTCTGCCATTTAATTCTCAGACTGTGATACATAGTAAGCACTTATAGGAAGTAGATTTTAGTTTCTCCTCACTAAAACATGTTTCATATTTCTTTATAGCTGTATCCTGCATCTTCTCTTACCGTTTGGTCACGTGTGACTTGTAGTTTACATCCCTAACTTACTTGCTTTACTTCATATTAAAAATGCCACTTCATCTTCAACTCTGGTCACTGTAACATGAATCATGACTTGGTTTTTTTTTTAATTAATTTTATGAAAAACTGTTTTTAATGACTCCAGAATTCTTGCTTCTTGCTTTGAGTATTAATCCCACATTGCTGGTTTTCATCCCTAATTCCATAACGGAGCACCAATACATCTTTTACTTACTACCTGGGACTCTTCCAAGATTAAATTAGCATCAGGAATTGAAACTCACTGTCCTGGGTTGCATCTGGTGTTATGACCATTAGGTGGTTTCTGTAGTTAGAGAATAGGTACACTGATTTGATTTTTCATCTTATTTTGGGGCAAAAGGCAGGAGATAGCACATGGTAAGTATCTGCTTTATTTTTAAATCTTTATTCCTGCTATGCTACCAAATTGAATTGTAGATTCCTTAGTACCCAATACTAGTTTCCCTTGTACTGTGCTTAAATTATGGAGCCATTTTCTCTAACTTGAAATATAAATTTTGGAGTAAAAATGCTTCTTTCTGAAACATGTTTTCTTATTTTCAGTTTAAAACGTTTTCCACTATCCAATATTGTTAACCAGCACGTTTGTCCTTCTCACTGGAGCTGACTTATCCTCATTCATTGATAGTTCCTGAGTTTATGAAGTACAGAAATATGTGGCATGATAATGCAAGTTCTGGTATAGAGTATACAATTTATTTTGCAGCAGGTACCTAGATATGATAAATATTACCATAAAGATAAAGGGTTTGTATGCCTGAAAGGGTTATCACTCATAATAAAACTACCAAAAGTCTTATGAGTCCTATTCTTCGTTATTGTTACTCTCTCACATGGTGTAAGTGATTATAGATGCTCAAGATAACCACAACAGAATTTTAATTAGATTCCTTTGTGACAGCATAACCCCTCAATAACTTTGATTTAGATTAGGATATAAAATAATTGGCAATGTGATTATTCTTTTAGTCCATATCCTCTATTGTGAGTGCATCAAACTTCTAATCTCACTAAGAGACAAGATAAGGAGGTGACTGCCTTGTGATCACTTGTTAGTTTCTTATTGGCAAGATGATGCACATTTTAAGCATATTTTTTATTTTCCTGGGTGGCTCTTTATAAAAGACTGGGTTTGTTATCTTTCAGTTCTTATGCATATGTAAAACTTTCTATTACTTCTAAACTTCTAAAGTGTCGTTTTTAACTATTTTAGTTCTAGGCACAGACAGGGTGGAGCAGATGACCAAAACTTATAATGACATTGACATGGTTACACATCTCCTAGCAGAGGTAGGAATATACTTTTGTGTTCTCTAATCCAAAAAGCTTAAAATCTGAAGATCATTTGGAATCTGTCAAATTATTCATCAAATGAAAATGAATGTCTTTATTCTGAGTCATTTTGTATGAGATTGTTACAGCCAGCATACAGACTAGCATTCCAAAATGGTAAAATTGCTGAAGTTTGTTATTAAAAAGTTGAAGATTATTTCATTTTTGTTGTTGCTGATGTTTGAGTGGTGCTTACTGAGCTCTCTGTTCTAGGAAAAGAATCTTTAAAAGAAAATTATTTTTGTACTAAACCCTTGCTGTTACTCTGGAACAGAGCTTCCATTCAAGCACACCTTTACAAATCAACAGTTGTAATTGTTTACTTTCAGTTTAAGCTGTTATCAGTGACATTTTGATATATAGTGTATCTCTTATAATTGGCATTCATAAAGATCTCTGCTGTTACTTCCGTTTCAGTTGCTCTTAATGAAAAACTGCTCCTCACTTTGAGGTACCCCTCCTCCTACTTAAGCTCCCCAGAATGATTTTGTTTTAGCCACTAGGCCTATATTGAAAATCCATTCACATATTTTTATATGCTGTAGATCAAAAGTATAGAAGCTTAATTGTGTTTATACTGACAATGTAAGTGGTACCATACTCTCATAAGGCAGATGTATAATGATGTATATATGTATATTCTATCCTACAGAATATAATCCTTGTGACCACCATGTGAAGGGGTTCCATGGGCCTCACTATCACCTTCTACCCAGAAAGAGTAACTCTTGCTTTGCTTAACTTTTCTGTAGCCTTTCTACATCACTACCACCAAAAAAGAATTCCTTCTTTATACTCTAAATAGAACCCTATAAATTCAAAATTTATGATATTTTCCACCCTGTTTTACTTCATATCATCATTCTTGTACCACTTGACAATAGAACTTCTTCCTGTGCTGTCCTCTGAATCTCTAGATCTGAATGCATGTATGTAAGCTTTGCCCTAACTGGGACTTTTTTCAGCATACCTACAACCCCTATTCCTAAATACCTTATACTGAATCATTACTTAATAAATAACAGGTAAATTTGGTCAATATTTGTTGCACATTTATTGTGTGGCAGGCCCTATCCTCTTTATAAAGATTATATTGATTTGCCGATTTCCCCAAAATTGTAAGTTCAAAGGTTGGGTTGATGGATCCTAATCAATAGAGTGGTCAGTAAATCTCATTGATATCAAAAGAGAGGTGCCCTCTTGCATTGATAGCTATGGTGGTCATCCATTTGACAAGCATGCACTTAATTAAATTAAATTACCACCTATGTGCCATGCCCTGTGTTCATTTATGGTATCTGGTCATTAAAGAAGATTTTGGTGCATTTTAGGATGTTGTTTTTGACTTCAGCAAAATTAACTACAGAGTTCCTGAACTACCATTTAATTTTGTTTATAAATAAGAAAAAATATGCTTGATATTTTAATAGAGGGATCGGGATCTGGAGCTAGCTGCTCGAATTGGACAAGCTCTGTTAAAGCGGAACCATGTCTTATCTGAGCAGAATGAGGCTCTGGAGGAGCAGTTGGGACAAGCCTTTGATCAGGTAAGCCTTTGGTTAGATATTACAGCATGAAACAACTAGGACTTGACTAGTGGGAAGTCATTTTCCTTGGTGTCCTTGAAGTGGTGACAATAGATAGGTCAAAAACACCAGTATATGTTGGCTTTGTTGGCAACCAGGAGAGAAATGAAATGCTGTTGTGCAGAGGAACGCTCGTGGGGCTCACCTTTGTCAATACAAAGCCTGTACTCCGTACCTGCAGGTTTTGGGGCACACTACTTAGTTTGAGCATTTTATTCTCACGCTTTTGTGTGGACTTTGCGTATGATATTTTAAGTTTATTCTTAAAAATTTATCCCCCCAAAATAGATACCTAAGTAAAGTATCTTTATGCAAAAACCAACAAAAAGAACAGGACTTTTTTTTTTAATGTAATGTATGGATTAAATTTATTTATTAACTTGAATGATTAAATTTCAAATTTTCTATTATAATTTGGTATTATCTGTTTTCATATATATTTCTAAAATGCATATGCTTAATAGCATTTGAGACTTTATGATAAAAATATTTAGTCCCTCTAGAGAATAGTTTTAACTGACCCTAGGAAATGATGCAGAGTTACATAGCTTAAAAGTACAAACCTTGGCTCTCCCTGTGGTGCAGCAGGTTAAAGCACAACACTAAGAAGCTAAAGCCACTTCAGCATGAGTTTGATCCCCACCCTGGAGGTGACCCACATGGCACGGCAGACCTATCCTGACTCGCCCACTGCTCCCCTCAGCAGTGTACTTTGTAGATCTGCCTGTTCTGCTCCCCACTCTGTGTCTGGTGAATCCTCACACCGCCCCTGCACCTCTGGCCTAGACCCCAGTTCTGTATGCACAAATAGATAAATCTTTTAAAAAAAAAAAAAGTATAAACCTTTAAGATAAGGATTTGAAATAAAAGTCTGTTTTGATACTTTGAAGATTCTTCAATTTTGTTTTTATCTGTAAATGTATCATTATCTTATATGAGCATTTCTTCCTGTGTTTCTATTACACAGAATATGACACTGGTTTGTCTTGTCTCCTTCTATTGAAAAAGCTATTTGTTGAGTGAATGCTCTAAAATTATAGTTTAAGGAAGTATCTGAAGTGTGTTAACTTGCTACTTCAGTCAACAAGATGTAGGGGTTGGTTTTATTACTTTGTTTTTTGGTGAGAAAGTTGCTTCATTAATTAGAAACTGTGTTTTATATAAATCCTGCAAACTGAAGAATATCTTGTAAATCAAGTCCGTTTTTGTGCAGGTTAATCAACTGCAGCATGAGCTATCCAAGAAAGATGAGTTACTTCGAATTGTCTCCATTGCTTCAGAAGAGAGCGAAACTGATTCTAGCTGTTCTACCCCTCTTCGGTTCAATGAATCCTTCAGCTTATCTCAAGGTTTGCTGCAGTTGGACATGCTGCAAGAAAAGCTCAAGGAACTGGAAGAAGAAAATATGGCTCTTCGATCCAAGGTACTTTGAATTTAATTCCCACTTTCCTTTATTTTAAAAACTGGAAGATTTAGATTCATTTGGTATTTTGGTGAAATGTGACATAGCTAAAGATTTGCTTTTGAATTCTAGTGGGGGAGGTGGAGGGAATGGTAGCAAAGGTACATTTATTACTTAGATTCCACTGAAAAGTCAATAATTGGAAGTTGGCAGGTCACACAAGAAATCCCCAGCATAGAGTATTTATCTCGAGTTTTCACAGATAATTGGGTAATTACAGTTAGGGTAATGGCTGTGTCTGATAATTACTGGAACCTGTGTGCTTGTATGGTGTGAAGGAATCATAGAAATTCTGCTTACGCAAGTGACATGTGAGCTGAGGCTAGGAACTAACCAGACTTGTACGATGGAAGGAAGGGGCCCAGGGGACGAGTGGGCCTGTGCAAAGGCCCCAAGAGGAATGCCCGGCAGAGGTGTGCCATGTCCTTTCCCGTACCTTTATTTATTTGTATTTAAACTTTTTATTAGTAATATAATAGTTTATTTTTACATCATTTTATACCCATCACCAAATCACCCATGTGCCATCGCCATGGTCCAGGGCACTTCCCACCTCCAGCCCCATTTTTGATCCCATCCCCCATTCCATCCCTGTAAAATGTCTCTGATATATAGTTGTTTATTATTATTTTCCCCCTGGTCCTTTATGCTCCTGCTTGAGTGAAACCATCTAGTATTTTTCTTTTTCATTCTGGCTTATTTCACTAAACATGATCCCTTCCAGCTCCATCCATGTTGCTGCAAAAGGCAACCCATACCTTTATTTTATGGTAGCCAAAGTGATACAGTTTTTTTTCCCTTTATAAGTGCTGAGCTTTAAAATAAAGGATTTTTGGTTTTTGGTTTTTTTTTTAGTTAATACTATAAAATTATTAGATGTTATCACAAATTGATTTTTTTGTTGTTGAAGGCTTGTCACATAAAGACAGAAACTATTACCTATGAAGAGAAGGAACAACAACTTGTCCATGACTGTGTTAAAGAACTTCGTAAGTATCCACATACTCTGTTTTATAGCCTTTGGGTAATTCTTTGGTAGAATATCTCCAACTCAGAAATGAAATTATTTAAAATAAAAGCATCTCAAACAACAGCTTTAGTTACTAAATATCTTGGAGGATAACACTGAGCCCACAACCCTAAATAAAATACTATAATATGTGCTTTTAAGAAGTAGCTATGTTTCTATAAACTGCAGCATGGTAGAGTAAGAGGAACCAACACGGTTATTTTGTTGATGAGGAAATCGTCGGGAGGCAGTATGATTTGCCACAGTCAGAAAACTGGTATTTTTCCGGAATGCTTAAATGATGACCAATCTTTTTGATAAGTAAAAAGTGAAGCAAAACCTTTCATTTACATGCCTTTACAAGTCCTTTCTTTTTCACTTCATTGTCTTCTATTAACTTGCTGCCTTTTTAAGTTTATGTTAAAGAAAAACCTATTTGTGGTAGTCACAAAAAGGGATTTGACGTACAGGCCATACTTGAACCCTACAGTTCCATCAATTTTTGTTTTTGGACTCCAAGGTGAAACGAATGCTCAGATGTCCAAAATGACTGAAGAATTATCTGGGAAGAGTGATGAGCTGCTTCGATACCAAGAAGAGATCTCCTCTCTCTTGTCTCAAATTGTAGACCTTCAACACAAACTTAAAGAAGTAGGTTCATTCTTTCACTCAGTAGATGCTGGTGCTAAGTGCTAAGTTACATTAAACAAAATAATCAGGCTCCATGCCCTGATAAAGTGCTGTAGTCTGATTATGTTTTAATCTTCTCCCAGTTAGCAGGTATCATTTGTAACTATTTTCAAGTCACTATTTCCCTCCTTACCATGTTAGATTTTCTTCAGAAAGTTGTGTTATGAATTATTGCCTCACGTTCATTGTCCTCTGAACACCTTGATGACTTTTGTATTCTGACTATTTACTATCTTACAACTTTTGAGAGGTTGGCATTTTATAAGTGTCTACACTGTATCTTCAGAGAAACTTGCAAAATGTCTTAAAAAGAGATTTTTGTTTTATGGACTGCTTCATGTGTCTCTTTTAATACTTTGCTAGCATGTGATTGAGAAAGAAGAACTGAGACTTCACCTACAAGCTTCCAAAGATGCCCAAAGACAACTAACAATGGAAGTAAGAAATCTTCACCTTCTGCACTATGAAAGGGGAGGGGTGAATAGTTTCTTTCATTTTTATGAATAAGAATTATTAAAGGGTACTGCCAGATTTAATCTTCTCTATTGAGAAGATTAAGAAAAATTAGGAGCCTGAGAAGGACAACAATTTAAAAATTCTGTTTCGTGATCACTTCAGCAGCACAGATAATTAAAACTGGGCCGATACAGAGATTAGCATGTCCCCTGCACAAGGACAACATGCAAAATGAAGTGTCTCATATTTTAAATAAATAAATAAATAAATAAATTGGTCTCTAAAAATAATACATGTCAATATCCTTGCTTTCTAGGAAAGAATTTCACTGTTTTAAGATTCTTGTAGGAGTATGTAACCCTTTACCACTTTATTTTTATTAACCCAATAGGCTCAAAAAAAGATACTATTTTTAATAATGAATGTTTTGCAGTAGATCGGGGAAATGGCAGAAATTTCACTTTCTATTTATTTGATTTAACTATTTACCTGATTTAATTCTGTTTTGTTTTTTTTTTTTAATTCTTTTTCTTTTTGGTTTAATTTAGCATGCATAAGAATCACCTGGGGGAGTGAGTTTTAATTATAGGTTCCCAGACAACCAACCCCAGAAGCTTCTAGTCTCGTAGCTCTACAGTGAGGGCAAGTTGTACCTCAGCCTGGTGATATTGATGATCCTGTTCATAGACCGCACCTGAAAACATTTGTTTGCTTTCCATTCTTTCTTACAGTTTGTTACATGGTAGCCATTAGGAATGACTTCAAATATTTATGTAGATATGATTTCATGTCTGGGGTACTGTGCTAAAAACTTGAAGTCTTAGTGTAAGAGGTAAAATTTCAAATAGTCATTCAACAACTAAATTAAAAGAGTTCATGGGGGGAAATGGTCAAATACAAATGGGGAAAATGAGCAGAATAATCAGTATGTAGTTGCTAAAATATTTAAATAGATTACAAAATTTGATGTTAGAAAAGTTTCCAAATATTTCAGTAGACTAGAATATTTTTGAAGTTAAAGTATATTCTGTTAATTACGTACTCTTTTACCATGCTTGTATATCTGACTATGAAGAAGGTTCTGAAATAAGTGAGAAGAAAGTTGTTGTTCAGTATGATTTGAGCACCTTGGCTTATCATGTGCAATGATTAGTAGACTTGATCATGTCATGGACAGGCTTGAGAACTATATTTAAAATATATGTGTATACACACACACATATAACTATAATTAAGCCATATCTGTGGTTTAAAAATTTTTTTCAGTCAGAATTTCTGTTTTCTCATCAAAGTTATAGTGAAACAACATTGAGTGATCAATAAAACAGCATTATTCAAGGATGTTGTGTGTATAACATTGTGCTAAACCTAACTTAACCATAGCTATGATACTTCCTCTATAAGTTTTTTAAGTATATGTAGTATTAAATGTTAACTGAAAATTATGGTTATCTCAGCTACTGCAGAGTTTTAGGAAAATCTTATTTACATATGATTCCAACCAGGACATTCCCTAATTCTTAGAATATATTCCCTTGCTTAGTTTGTTTCAGATTCTTTATACTGAAATTCTGTTCATAAAGTTAGCTAGCCCTATGGCTAAAATCAGTACTTACTCCAATGGGGTTTTACCCCACTGTTATTTGAGAATGTAGTAGAATATGTCATTTCTTTCAGCTGCATGAGTTACAAGACAGGAATATGGAGTGTCTGGGAATGTTACATGAATCCCAAGAAGAAATAAAGGAACTTCGTAGTAGATCTGGCCCTGCTGTTCATCTTTACTACTCCCAGTCTGGGGTAAGGAACTGAGAAAGACACTATGTGTTTAAGGAAGCTTGCTGAAGAGTAAATTTTATTACTGATGGTATAAAGCACCTCAAGAAGACATAATCTGATTTGTCTTGTTTCTGGAATTCAAATATTGATTTAGGCTTTAATTTGCATCTTCTTTAATTCTCATTTATCATAGCCTCTCTAGCAGATTCCATCCATTTTTGTAGTATTACATGAGGTAAACTGTACGGAAATTGGATGACACCTGTGTGCTATAGAGCCACTTAAATTTGGGTCATCCTTATCCTAGGCCTCCCACATGCCATTTATTCAAATATTTCCCTGAATAATTAAAATCTCTTGTAATAGATCAAGAGTTGTTTCTTGGTATACTTAACTCCAACTAAAGTGTAATCCCATCAACACAAATCTAAAGTTTCATCTAATCTTTCTCAGTTATTACTATTGTAGTTATCAAATGCTGATTCTTTAATTCTAATTTCCCTGCATGTATTGTCATTTTTTTTTTTGTAAGTTAAGGTTTTTCTGTCACATTTATTAAGTTAGTTCATTTGCCCTTTGTGCATTAGTTGAGTGTGGATTCATGGATCCCTATTTTTAGTTAATGGATTCTAATCCATTATTACTACTTTTTATTTTGATGCTCAGCTTGACCTAGGTATGATCAGTGAGATCTCCTTCAATCTCATCCTGCCTTTTCCCTGTCCCAGCCTTTGAATCAACCATTTTTCCAGGGAATTCTGATTACTTTTAATGAAAAACAGTATTTGGAATACATGATCAGTGCTAAGTATATCATTAGAATATCACTGTCATTAGAATATTTTTGCTTCCAGGCCCCCTCAAGAAATAGAGCTAAGAAATATTCACACATATGCTCACACATATGCCCACACCCACACATGGTATCTGTCTTTCCACCCATGTGTATACATACGTGTTTATGTGTGTGTGTTTTAAAATTACTAGTCTACATCAGTACCTCTACTGCCAGTCATCCCCACCTCAACCCCACTGAACATGTCACCCAGCCCTTGTCCCTGATGAGAGAAAAGGTAGCTTGTATATTTTCTTTTACTGATTTATTTATTACAGAAAAGTTAGAATCTACAGGGAAACAAAAAGAAATTTTTTTATATTATTATTATTATTTTAAATTCTTTTCTAACAGATTATTTTTACATCATTTTGTACATTTTTTTTTTCCATCTCAATTGTAATCCCCACGGGTTTCCCATCACCAAATCACCCATGTGCCATCACCATAATTCCGTGCACTTCCCTCCCCTCCCCCCGTTTTTGATCCCATTCCCCACTCCACCCCCACAAAATGTCTCTAGTATATGGCTGTTCATTATTCTTTGTTATTTTCTCACCTGGTCCATTATACTCCTGCTATGAGTGACACCATCTGGTATTTTTCTTTCTCTTTCTGGCTTATCTCACTAAGCATGATCTTTTCCAGCTCCATCCAAGTTGCTGCAAAAGACATGTGTTTTTCTTTTTTGGTTGCTGAGTAATATTCCATTGTGTATATGTACCACATCTTTTTAATCCAGTCATCTACTTTTGGGCATTTGGGCTGCTTCCATGTACAAAAAGAAATTCTTAAACACCATTAAATCCTGACCTCCACAGAGTCATCACCAACATCTTGATTTATAGCCTTTCAGACCTTTTAGTTGTATGTGTTCGCATATGTAACATTTTCTATTTATCATATTGGTTTTGTCCACTGCTTTCCTGTAAAATAAATCATGAAAAATTCCCTCATCCTTACTTAAAAGTAATATTTCCAGTCACTCTTGTTCTCACCTACATTTTAGCCTGTGACTGTTTTCTTGTATTTTTCCTTATTATACTGGATTTTAGAGAATCTGCTAATTAATTTAAGGATATTCATTTCTCCTAACAGACTTCTTAATCACTGTAGGAATTTCAAACTCTTTTTCTCAGGAATCCCTGGCAGCTGAAATTGAGGGGACCATGAGAAAAGAGTTGAGTTTGGATGAGGAATCATCTTTCTTTAAACAAAAGTAAGTACCAGTCACATTTGTTGTTACTCAACAATTGGGAGGTAGGGTGGGAAAGAAAGAAAAAGAAGTCGCCATCCAAAGTGATAGGTATCGTGAGATTCAGTAGTGAATTTCCTTACTAGTACTCCCTTTTGTAAAGGCATGAACTTACTCTGAAGTTTCCTTACCAATGATTTCTCCTGAACTTAGCAGCTATTCAGGGTAACTTTATTTATTTATTTATTAAGATTTATTTATTTATTTATTCATACAGAACTGGGGTACAGGCCAGAGGTGCAGGGGGAGTGAGAGGATTCACCAGGGACAGAGTGGGGAGCAGAACAGGCAGATCAACGAAGTACACTGCTGAGGGGAGCAGCGGGCGGGTCAGGAGAGGTCTGCCCCGCCATGTGGTCACCTCCGGGACAGGCAGGAATCGAACTCAAGGGGAAGTGGCTTTTGATTCTTAGTGCTGCGCTTTAACCCGCTGCGCCACCAGGGAGGGCCAGGGTAACTTTATTTTTAATAAACTGTACTATATGTCTCTTTTCTAAAGCACTCCAGAGGGAGCTCGTGTAATAATGAACACTTCTTTTCTGACAGAGCCCAGCAGAAACGGGTATTTGATACTGTCAAGGTTGCCAATGATACACGGGGCCGCTCTGTCCCGTTCCCAGCTCTGCTACCCATCCCAGGCTCCAACCGTTCAAGTGTCATTATGACAGCAAAACCCTTTAAGTCTGAGTTACAACAAGCAGAGGACAAAGCACTCTTGAATCCGGGGAGCAGCTCAAAGGATGTTCCAGGGTAAGACACAGTCTTGGCAGTGATTATTCAACGTACCAGGTTCATATATTCAAACTCCAGCATTTTTGTAGAGTTCTCTGCTATCCCCGGAAAGTTCTAGAACTGTTTTCAGTTTTCTTTTAGTAATGGTGCCATAATTATAATTGAGATAAGACAGATAATCCATTTCATAAAAGACCTTGAAAAATAGATATATCGATTCAGTGGATTTAAAATAGAGCTTGCATGTTTGGCTCCTGAGAAGTCTTTACTGGTACAGAAACCCATCTCCCCAATTGAATTATCTGGTCTATAGTGGGCATTTTCTGCACCAAGGTAACTTTATATGTCGATACTGCCTCCTGGATGCAATTACCTTAGAAGAAAATATGGCAAACAGCCAAGGTCAACTACAGTTCCTTTTGCTGCTGTGCCTTTTATATTAATTGTGAGTTGTCTCCAGTTTTTTAATTTTGAAAATGAAAAACTGAATGTTGCATAATTATGAAAATGCTTCTTTTATTTTTAATGCTTTGCAATATTCAGAGGATTCTGATTCAAAGCAATTCTTCACATTTTATTTTTTTTTATTGTTAACTAATGTTTTGTCATTTTTTAGTGGTTGTGGGTTTTTTTAGCAATACATAAAATAATAGCATCTCTTGTATCATTAACATTATGGATTCAGTGAAATGTAATACTTTTTTGACTACCCAACCTAAATTTATACATGATATGAAAGGTAGTTTTTTAAATTAGGTAGAAAAATTAGTAAACACAATAGTAAAGTATATTTTGCCGGTCTGAAGTAACCTGTAAAAGTCATACACACACACACACACACACACAAACATAACATTAATAGTTTTGGTTTGATTTCACTATTTGTGTATTCCAGACGAGTAAGAAGAAATACTGCTTTAGGATCAGCCTCTTGAACATTCCCCATTGTAGAAGGGTCAGGTCTAGCATATGCTTTTGACCTTCACTGATCACAGTGAACATGATTTTCCCTTAGGAAGACTCAGACGTCGGATCAGCCAGAACCCTGTGACAGTGACTTGGCTACCGCTCTGCATCGCCTCCGCCTGCGGCGACAGAACTACTTAAGTGAGAAGCAGTTCTTTGCTGAGGAATGGGAGCGCAAGATCCAAGTTCTGGCTAAAGAGAAAGATGGGGTTGGTGACTCTGGCAGCCCTCCAGGGAGCCTTGCCTCTCTCTGCACTGATCAGTCGGAGATCCCAGACCTCAGCAGTGCCAGTTGCCTTCGAGGTTTTATGCCTGAAAAATTGCAAATTGTCAAGCCCCTGGAAGGTAATAAATCAGTATGGGCCATTTTTTTAACCACCGTATATATTGGTCTTTCCTTCTCCTGGAATTGAGATTTGTTTTATAATGCCACTGTGCAGCAGTGGTATCTTTATTATTCCTAAATCTCATTGGGTAACAGTGCCTTGTATTACTTTATGAAAAATGATTGAAGGGATTTGCATCTCCAAGTCAGCAGTTTCTTTTACTGATTTATGGATGGATGGATGATGGGTGGATGATGGATGGTTGGGAGCAGTTCTTCTAGTAAGATATGAGAGATAAAGAATTATCTAAAAGCAATACTTTATCTCCACCTTCCTTTTCAAAAGAGTTCTTTGCTTGGGGGTGTCACTTACTTGGAGGTATGTGTGCATTTTTAGTATTTTAGTTCATTAATTTCAGCTGTTTGTATCCTCTTCTAAGATAGACTAGAAATTAAATTTCTTTCTTTCATGGAATACTGACAATCTTCAAATGATTCTCCGCTATTAATAAAGAGTGTGCATTTGGCAAAACTTTGAGTATTCTATAAGGTACTCTATAAGGACCCCTCAAATCAAAGCTTCTATAATTTTGTTCATTGATGATCAGTGCAGATATTTGTCACAGTCGCCATTTTTAGAATGAAAGTGACTGTAGCAACGCAAGTGACATTGCATCTGGTAAAGGTGCTCGGGGTGACCATTCATCAGGGCTTGTGGACAGAAACCATGGCGTAGACCCTCCTTTCCTGCCCACTCATCCCTGTGATCCTGGGGAAAGGAAGTCATGAGCACCAAAACCTCACTGGAAATTCCAACTCGGGTCCTGGTAAAATTTTGATTTCATAGTTCCAACCAAGGAAGAGTGTTGAGTTTGTCACCTGACAAAATATAGCCTCACCTGTGAAGTACATGTCTTCCTTACCAACCTCAGCATCCGACTTGTTGTTTTGGTTTTTCACCCCCCCACTTTAGGTATCTTTTTTAAAGTTAACTTTTGAAATGTTGAAAGAAAGATGATTATTCATACTTTCAGCATCTTGTCAGTCTTTCACAGAGAACTTTAACTTGCAAATTTTTCCAAATTATTAAGACCAAATAAGTAGTTTTATTAATGTCGTAACCTGCTTAAATATACAATTTGACTTCTGCGCCTCACTTCCTCACCCCCTTTTTTTTCCTCAGGGTCACAGACTCTGCACCAGTGGCAGCAGCTTGCTCAACCACATTTAGGAACCATTCTTGATCCACGACCCGGTGTCATCACAAAAGGCTTCACCCAGTTGCCCAAGGATGCCATTTATCACCTCTCAGACTTAGAAGAGGATGATGAGGAAGGTATCACTTTTCAGGTTCAAAAGCCTCTTCAAGTGGAACAGAAAACACCTACGCCAGTGACAGGAATCTTCCTACCACCCATTACTTCAGCAGGCGGGCCAGTAACAGGTAAGAAAAGTGCTTGGTTGATTATAGGTTGGTCATCAGTGGTATTTGACATTCTGCCTTAATGTCTTCAGCTGACTACCTTAGATCTCACTGGAGTGTACTCAGTCTCGAATATCATGTAACGAAAATCTGTGGCATTAGTGGTCCTTCTAGTTCTCTCCATTTTATCTTAGTCAGCCTGTATAAATAGACTGCAGAGAGATAGACTCAGTGATGTGCAAACCTTTTTGCCTCAGGATCTCTTTACATTCTTAAAAATCATTGAGAATAATTGAGGTGGGAAAAAAAATGTACAAAATGATGTAAAAATAAACTTATAAAAAAAAATCATTGAGAATTCCAGAGTGCTGTCTATATTGACTCCAAGATAGTTACAGTATTAGAAATCACAATGGTTTTTATTTTAAAGGTTTATTTTTATTTACTTATGCATATAAATAGTGGAGGGTAGGCCAATGATGCAGGTGGTGAGAGGATTCACCAGAGACAAAATGGGGAGCATAACAGGCCGATCTTCTGAAATACACAGCTGAGGGGAGTAGCAGGTGAGACAGGAGATGTCTGTGCCATGTGGGTCAGCTCCTGACCCAGTAAACTCATGCTGCAGTGGCTGGTGATAATGTGATAGTGCTGAGACTTATCCCCTTGCACCACCAGGAAGACCCACAACAGAAATTTTTAAAAATATTAACTCATTTAAAAATAATTGCATGTTAAGGAATAATATGTTTTTAGGTGTCTAATTTACCACTTAGAGAAGATAGCGGGGTTCTTGTTTCAACTTCTACATTTAGTCTTTATGTTATGATGTTTTGATTAGGAGTAAAAAGAAAATGCAGCCTCACATAGAAACATAGTTAGGAGAAGAGAAAGTCTTTTAATAGCCTCTACAGATATTTGTGGCTGTTCTTTGATATTGTACCAAAATTTGATAACTGGTAGTTTCTTGAAGGCTTGTAGAAATGTGGAATCTGAAAAATTATAAATGAACTTTTCATAGTTTGTTAAGATCTTATAATGTGAATTCATCTATTATCTATTTATGATTTTTGTCAATCATGCATTGGTTGTTTGGGTAATATTGGCTTACTGAGTTATAAAAATCTTCCAAAGTGACACATTTTACTATGTAACATTAAAATCACATCAGTATCACCACCTGCTGTGTCAGGAGAATCATTAAGTATTAGGAAACTTTGAGGTTCTCAGTAGAGGATACAAGTTTTCCAGAATTCTGATTTTTACTTCAAAATACAAATTTGTGTCACTGGCAACAAATACTGTCAGCTGTTTATCTTTAAGAGACACATTCAGGATTCATCTTCAAGAAAATTTTCTGCCAAGCAGTCACCACCGAATAACCATTGGCCTGTCAATTCTTTCAAATAAAAATGATGTTACATATATATTTAATTTCTAGGTTTGTGTAAAAGATACTTGATAATTTCTCTACTAATAAATAGTACATTTTTTTAGGTTAATACAGTATTAACCTAATCTTTCAGTTTTGTGTTTGATTCCCTAAATCTCTACTTCAGTTGCAGCCTCAAACCCAGGAAAGTGTCTGTCATGCACAAACTCAACATTCACCTTTACCACCTGTAGGATATTACATCCTTCAGATATCACTCAGGTTACCCCCAGGTAAGAGAGACTGGGCAATTTGAGGCTTCATTGCATAAGCATAATTGATTGTTTGATTGCTGATTGATTGATTACCCATGTTGGTGAACTCATGTCTAGGTCAGCTGACTCTTGAGTCCCCTACTGTAAATCAAGTGGTTGGTCTTTTTAGCATGCCAGCTCCCGCTCTGTAACTAGTGGGTATGGTTAGCCCACCCCGAGAACCGTGCTTGCGTTCTCCTCTCAGTTGTCCACACAGAACTCCCACCTCCAAGTCACCCTTGCACCATCACCACAGTCCCTATGCTCTTCCCTCCCATTTGACCCCTCCCTCCCCTGCAGAATGTTTTTTGATTTATTATAATTTTTTTTCCTTATCCCTTATTTGGTTCCCCTAAATTCCTCCTCTAAGTGAAACCATCCAATATTTTTCTTTTTCTTACTGGCTTATTTCACTGAGCATAATCAACTGAGGGGTTGTTTTAAGCCACATTTCTGCTATTTCTACTTATTACAAAAGGATGTAGGGTCATTTTCAAAAATACATGGACCATTACAGGGATAATAACTAGTAGTAATAAGAAAAATGAAGCAAAGAAGAGTAAGGATATAAAACTGAATAAACTAATAAAGTTAGCATACAAAGTATACCATCAAGTCTTATACACTTACTGTGTATTTGAGTTTAAATTTCCCATCAGTAGGGCAATGACTCATAGTATCTGTAGATAGGAGCAAATCACTTGTCTTGGGGAAGTAAATACCCAATAAAGAACTTGATGAGGAACTGCAGGTGTATCTGCAGTTAGTTCTAGTGTTCGTATTATAAAATTAGTTTCTAAAGAGACCCAATACAGGTTGACATCATCATATGCAATGTATACAATTAGGGAATGCCCTGCCATAAAGTAGGGGCAGGAGGTGGGAGGCTGGGAGCATTATATATACTGGTTTAAGCAGGGACTTAAGCTTGTTAAAATTTTGCTTCTTTTATATAAGTGCTTTAGAAAGTTTATTAATCTTAAAAACTCTCCTTGTATTCATAAATTTCGTATCTTGAAAGACTGAGTATTTTGTGTTAAAGTGAAAGTTTACCTATTAAATACTGGTAATATTTGCTCAGTGGGGAAAAAATTGGCTAAAAGACCCTTTCCAGTCTATCTCCATTTCCTTATAGGAGCATCTTAGGCTTAATTATGAAAGATTTTGTTTTCTAAAAAATTGAAGAATTGTTTACTTATGGATTGTTGTCACTTTAAGAAATAATTAAATATCGGATAATGTTAATAATAAAATAGATATGTTAAAGGGTACCTTTAATCTTTAAACTTCTTTGATTTCTAATGTAAAATTTTGTTGTATTCCCACAGATAAACACTTTAGAGTTAAAATTTAGAATAATTTCAATAAATCTTTACACATCCTACTGAAATTCTTCAGTAAGTTAATGAATAAGTTACAAATCACAAATAATAAACCAGTTATTAGTGTAACATTAAAGTTTTCAGTCCTTAGATCTATTCCACAGAGTTCAGTTGATGATAGATTGCTTGTCCTACATTTACTAACAATAACAGATAACTACCGTAATTACCTCAAATGCTGACTTGGAGATAGTTTTTTATTCTTAAACCTATCCTTCTTCCCACCCACCCACCCACCCTTTTTTCTTTTTTTTTAAAGCTCTGGGTTTCCTTCCTTATCCTGTGGAAGTAGTGGTAGTAGTTCATCAAACACAGCGGTGAATTCTCCTGCCATGTCCTATAGACTCAGCATCGGCGAATCCATCACCAACCGACGAGATTCCACCATAACCTTCAGCAGCACTATGAGCTTGGCCAAACTTCTGCAAGAGCGAGGCATCTCTGCTAAAGTGTACCACAGCCCGGTTTCAGAGACTTCCCTCCTACAGCCTTTCCCTAGAGCCTTAGCGATCCCTTCCACACCACCAAATTCACCATCTCACTCACCTTGTCCTTCTCCTTTGCCCTTTGAGCCTCGAGTACATACATCTGAAAATTTTTTGGCCTCCCGACCAGCTGAAACATTCCTCCAGGAGATGTATGGTTTAAGACCTTCCCGAACCCCTCCTGACGTTGGCCAGTTAAAGATGAACTTGGTGGACAGACTGAAGAGATTGGGTATAGCCAGAGTGATCAAGACTCCTGTTGCCCAGGAAAATGGAAGCGGCCAAAAGGCAGAAATTGGTCTTCGAAGACCAGACTCTGCTGTTTATTTAAATTCAGGTAGCAGTTTATTGAGTGGACTGAGGAGGAATCAGAGCCTTCCAGTAATGATGGGTAGCTTTAGCACCCCAGTTTGTACCTCCTCACCCAAAATGGATATCCTGAAGGAGGACTGAGGTTCAGCTCTGGTTCAGTTAATGACCCCTTGTACCAGTTAGCACACGAAGGATGGAGTTGCACACAATGGGCAGCCTGGTCTGACAGAGGGAACAGGGATGTTGCAGAAGGGCCGTGAATGTGGGAGGGGAAAGTGGAAGAATGGACGCAGAATTGGGTTGGCGTTGGTAATTTGAGAGTAATGGACCGTGAGTGGTGAGAGGCAGAAAAGGAGGAAAAGTTGAATGTACGCCTTCAGTTGGCTTTTCTTGTCTTGAAAATAAAGTGACCAGAAGATAAATTCAATAATGTTGAATCATACCAGGAAGGCTGGGCTTGCTGCACACTGGCGCCTGGTGAGCGGGCAAGAGGAAGCCGGGGGGCTGGGAGGAGAACGGGGCTGCTTTCACTGTTGCCTGTAGGAAGCTGTGCTGGAGTGTCCCCGAGTTACTGAGGCCACAGCAGGGTGACATTTATGTTGGTCCTGTCACTGTCTGATTAAATTATGTGTCCATCAATGGTATGCTTACAGCGTTAGCAAACAAGGAGTGTTACCTTTTTCTAAGACTAACGAGGAAAAACTCCTTTTTCGCCATTTTCAGGCGTTTATACCACTGGGAACCCAAACACTATCCATATTCCTTTTGTATTTGTGACTAATAAACATCCATGTTTAAAATTTGTATTTTTATACAACATCCAAAAAAAAAAAAAAGATAGCTTGGATGGAGGATTACAGGAATTTACTTTTAAAAAGGAAATAGAGTAATTGGAACCAAGAAACTTGTTTTCAGAATATTTTATCTGGGTTAAGTGCAGTGGCCAAGAAGGATGAAAGTTTTGACATTCAGATTTCCTCGGAGACTGGAAGACAAAACCAGTCAATCAGCAAGTGCAATCAGTAGGATTTAGCGGATGGTGTGTATTTATGTTTGTGAACTTACCGTAAGGATATAGCTGGTCACAACTAAGCTTTTCCCTGTGTGTGCTATGCATATTTTTAATGAAAGATACATGTATTTGCACAAAATTTCTCAGGCACATTAAATTATTATAAGCTAAAATAAAACCCAGGTGCTTGCTTTGAGATTGTGGGTGTTTTTTAATGTAAAATAAAACACATCTGCCTTTTTCTTGATATATGTAGTTAGAGAATAACCTTTTTAATGGAAGAGTTAAGCCTGTTTTCCTTTTCTCTGGGACTCCTTTTTAAACAAAATGAAAGTTGGAGATTGAGTTTCAGAGTTCAACTGTGTGACGCAAGGCTGTGAGTTGGGAAGGAACAACTCTGTTTTCTGAGCGCGTTGAAGGGCTGCTCCCCGTCAGGTGACATGGCTTTACTAGGTAGGCCGGTTTCAGATGCCAGTATCTGAAGACAGGAGAGGGACCTACTTACTGAATTTTTGAAAATAGGATATATATTATTTGATCCTTTTGGTGCTCACTTTGCAAACATTTTGCCCCTTTGTTCTGACTTAACTGAAAGGGAGCTTTCCGAAGAGCTCTTCATGAGCGGCTTGCTCCTCGGGCCCACCCGGGCACCTTCTACCAAGCTAGAGGGGAGCCCGTCCTCTCTCCTTGGGGCGCCTCTTCTAAGGAAAGCCGTGTGCTCTAAGGAGTAGAAAAGCCAATATGAGTGCATTGCTGAGAGCGTGAGTTTGTCATGCTTTTTAGAATCTTAATAAAACTTTTCTAAATTTCTTAAAAGCAAGAAGTGCAGGTGTGCCTGTACTCCCCTTCAGTCAGTCATGCTTGCGTTAGCAGGCCTCCATGTATGCGGGCCTCCATGTATGCGGGCCTCCATGTATGCGGGCCTTCCATGTATGCTCTCAGGAAAGATCCAGCAGGGGTGTGGTGAGTGCAAGCGTCCTGAGTGTGGTAGGCATTATCGGAGTCCCTGACGGTAAATTTCCAAACTATCCCAATTAACTTTGAAAAAAATAATATCCAAGTTTCTATTTCAAAAAAAATACCTCTGAGGTGCTTATTTCAGCCAATTCTTAAAGTTTTTTATTTTTCTCTTAAGAAAGTAATCTCTCCCTACTGCCACTTTCCAGGAAATACCAGAAGTAGGAAAACGTAGGGCCAGAGAGTAGTACAAAGTGCTACCTAATCAGATTTATGTGTATTACATAAATAGTTTAATAATGAGCTAGAGTTTTTGAGTGTTCTGTATAATTAATGCACTTTTTTAATAAACAATGCTAAAAATTAGATCACTTTGGAGGCAAGACAAAGGTTTATTCACAGCCAAATAAACATGACTAGTTAAAAAAGAGACCCAGACAAGTTGTTGAAAATGTGATTGTTGACGTTACACCAGAAGCACAACACTCGTATGCTAGAGCATATGCTGTCTCTGGCAAATCCTGGTTTGAAATTGGGATTTTATGTTTCAAATTTTTCCACCTAACATCATTTTGGGTACAGCCTGAGACTCTATTATAAAAAAATTTATGTGCAAATTATGGTAATGAGCCTAGCAAGTTCCTCCTCAATCTGTCTGTTAAGCTTTAATACTGTTCATGTTTTCTTGTTCTCTATAATATCAGTTGTGTGTACAGAAAACTCCAATTTCTTTTTTTTTTCTTTCAAAAAGGTTCTCAGTGATTATACCTCAGGTATTTCTGAGTATCTTATTCCCTAGTAAGAGCAAAACCTTTCCTGAGCTCAAAATTAGAAGCTCTCAATTATGTCACCCAAATCTTATGTAAATAACCTTAGATGTGAATCTTCTGGGGGGAAGTTAATGACCACTGTTAAAGTCATTAAAAAAAAGAGTTTTTTACTATATTTCTTTGATTTGACAACAATAGACTTTGGCTAAGAAAAGAAATTAAGAGGCAGCTCTTGTGAGCTGCCTATTCTCTGTAAAAGGTGTATTTTATAAAGTATTCAAAGCTTGTTATTTTTCTGACATGTAAGTACACAGTCAGTACTTAGAAGTTCCTAACGTTGACTTGACACCGGGAGCTAGAGCTTAGTTCATCCACTCCTGTGATGTCAGATGCATGAAGCCTCTCTCCCAGCAAGCCCCGGTATCTGCTCCTGCAGGTGCACACAGCCAGCTCGTGTGGGAAGTATTGGTGTTCCATATTGGGGACTGGACCTTGTAAACAGCTCTTTGTGCACCTATCTCTGCTGAGTCAAGTGTAAATCAGATAATAAACATGAGTATCTTGTTACATTTTCATGTCTCCCTGTGTTTTTGTCCCAGTTCTTTGCACAGATAATCTTTCATTACATCTTTCCATTATATTGGGGGGTTTTGTACAGAAAAACAACTTGTATTTTCCAAACCAACGCTAAACAAACCAACACTATCTTTAGTGAGCAGGTCTTAATGTATTATCTTAGTTGTTTTTTTTTTTTAATAGAGTGGATGCCATCATCCCCTTAGCAAGCAACAGCAACAACAAAAAGTCATTGATAGGCAGATGTTTTATTGGAAAATATTCGGGAAGCATGAAGCAATGTTTTTCCTGTAGTCCACAACTTACCCTTGTTACCCCTAGCTATGTAGAAACTGTTTCCCAGAAACTTAAGTTTGAAACTTTGGGATCCTAATAGTGTTCTTTGGTGTTCCCTTACCTCCATCACAACTTAATTGCTGTAGTTTTAAAAACTCTTTCAATATACATTTAGAAATATGAGCATTCTGTGAGGAATAAATGAAAACCCCGCTTCTGTGATCGGAATTTAGTGACATTCCCAGCACCTTTAATGGTATTCTCTTTCACAAATAATCATCAAAAGGTGTGTTGAAATCCCAAAGCCTCCTGAGAGTTTAGAAGTTTGAGATCTTTAGATTCTGTTCCATCTTTTTTATATTTTTATTTTACTATCATTATTTTTCTATTTTTCATTAGTTTTTATGAAATAGGGGTCAAAATATCACAGAATTTTCAGATGAATGGATGTTGCTATGCAGGTTTTGTGAAAAGGCCAATGTTGCCAACAATAGCATAAAATCTTTTATTGCAGACACACTAGTGTAAAAAGTAGGACAAAATCACACCAAGGGTCATATGAGATGCTAGAGAAAAATTCCAAAACAAATAAAACCCAAATATATAAATTCGGTTTTTGAAAACATGTAACAAACTCTGCAATAGACATCACAGCGTGGATGTCTCCCTGGTCTCAGTTGGTCTCCACCAGTCAAAGCCTGGAGCCCTGATCAGCTCAGCACTCAAAGTTTATTCCCCAGATTATTGTGCCTCAGTAATCGGCACCACCATCTATTCAACTGAACAAGGGCCCAGAGATTTATCGCTGCCTCCTTTTCCCTCACCCTAACAACCAACCTGTCTCCAAGTTATCTCCACTGATGCTCCCTTAGTGAAGGCCATCAAGTCTCACCTAACCACTGCCCCAGGTCTCTGTCTGGTTTTCCTGCCTCTTGTCCTGACCCACCAAATTGTTTCTCTACATGGCAGTTAGAATCTTTCCAATGTACAGATCTAGTCAGATAGCTTCTCTGACTAAAACTGGCCTGACACACTAGAAAAGAAATGCCTGCCCTACACCCCCACTGCATGTGGTAAGGCAGTGAGAGCTTCATTGTGCTCTTAGTGAGCAGCTTTGTCTGTTTCACCAGTCTCTGCTTTTTGCACTAGATAAAAATGGGGAGTTGAATAAGCAGATGTATTTATAACAATTTGTAAACCACGGGCTTTGAGTCAGTAGATCATGAATTCAGTCTAGTAAATCTATAATCAGCATTCATTTCAAAAAGAAAAAAAAATGAGATTATTTAAAGGTATTATTTCATGCAACTTTTTGTTATAAAAAGTGTTAAATAAATTCCCTATAGTGAGTTGCAGTAAAATTAAAATGAAGGCCACTGGCCTATAGTATGCAATTAATTTTCCCTATAATGAAAAAATTAGTTTTATTTAGGAAAAAAAAAAATGAAGCTCTTTGATGCCTGAAAAAGCACTGTGTCCTGGGAAAGTTGCATTTTCACAGATTCCAAGGCTTTATTATTCCTTCAAGTTTTAGGTTTCTGTGAACACGTGATGGAGGAATTTGAAATCCAACAAAGATCCTGTCTGACAACTACTGCCATGGATCATTCAGCCTAGGGTGACTGTGTAGTTCTATTTCTTTGGAGACTTGTCTGCTGTGTTGGAGACTTTCTTAACTGGTTGCTTCTCCAGCCTTCCCTCATTTAATGACTGCCTGAGCCAATGAGGTGCTTCCATTCTGTTTCCATAGCAATAGAAACAAACCTTCACCTAGGCCACCTCCAACAAACAAACCTCACACAACTCAAGGGCCAAATCAAGGGACCCTAAATGGAGAGGTGACTTTCTCTTAACTTGACTTTCATTGCAATATTAAAACGGAACTGTCTGTAGAGGGGAAATTTGCGCTCATGCCAGCTCAATCTTTGTAAAAAGCCTTTGGATGCACTAGAAGTCTCTGTTACACAGACTGTGGATTTTTGGCTTTGGCGTTTTAAACACTTGGAATGACCACTAAAGGCTCACATTCTGTAACATCTGGACTTGGCCTAAAATGAGTTCTGACTGTGTGTTGATGGGAACCCATTTCTCTGCAACACTGTGATTCCTTTAAGACATTTTTTGACTTGGAAAGGAGCCACACAGAAATAGCAGATCTTGTGACAGTCCAAGGTAAGCACTTTGGAAAACATGTTTCATGTAACTTTAACTTCTGGTCATTAATACTACCTGGAGGCTCAGCTGGCTTACCTGTGCCCATTGTGACCCCAGTAGGCACTTTCAGCCCGCTTGGCCTGCGGTAAAATCAGAGAGATGCAGTAAAGGAAAAGAATAGAGAAAAGGGAACTTTGAAGGATGTGCATGCACGCACACACACCCTATATCCTTAGAGCCACGCCACACAACATCAAGCCACTGTGAAAGCAGCAAACTCATCTGTGCTGATGTGGAAACACTTATTAGCTATCCTGTTGTGTAAAGTGAGCAAACATGGAGAGTAAAATATGCTCTTGTAAAAAACTTTTAAGTGTGTATACATTTATATACACATACATTTCCTCTTGGGAGAGTTCTGGAAGTCAAGGGCTGACATGGGTAGGCAGTTACTGAGATACGGAAACTGCCCTACTGGCTGGAAGGGCCAAGGCCCCTTACCTGTCTTCTCCGCCACCTTGGCTGGCTGGCCCCACCCCTCCCTTGGCATCCTCACACTTCTCAGCAAGTGAGAAGGGGTTAACACCTGACCTGGGGTCAAACAGAGGTCCTCCTAGACCCCTCTGGGCCCTGCAGCCCAGCTGCCATGTCTATTCTGATTGTTCATTAGCATCATCTAACTAGTTGCCTAACTAGTTAAATATTTTGAGTATCACCCCACCCCTTAGTCTCACAGACTGCACCTGCACTTCCCATACCAATCACAAAGCTCAGAGGTCACCTGCCCTTCTGGTTGATCAGCTGCAAAATAGAGGTTGCTACAGTCTCCTCTACTGGATTTGCTAGAGCTATTCACAGAACTCAGGGCAACCTCTTTTACTAGCCCGCTAAAGGCAATGATAAAAAAGATGAAAAACAAAATGAAGTGACAGAGAGGTCTCGGAGGGACCCTGGCACAGGCGTTTCTGCCCCAATGGAGCTGAGGTGAGTCACCCTCCTGCGACCATGCTCGCTAACCCAGCGCTCCAGACTCCATATCGCGGGACTTTCCAGAGGCTCCTCACACGACATCGGCATCGCGGTCCGTGACTCCGCTGGCGGACTCCCTTCCCTCTCTGGAGAACAGGGGTGGGGCTGAGAATTCCAGGCTTCTAATCATGGCTGGTCATGTCGAGTCCCATCTAGGCGCCCACCCAGAAGCACCCACATTACAACAAGAGATGCTCCTAGTGTTCTTAGCAACTGAGAATATCAGTGGGTTCAGGAGGACCTAGGTCAGGAACCGAAGACAGAGACCCCTAAGTATTTTTTCGATTACTTCGCAACCTTGGACTCTCATTTTAGCTGTGAACAGTGGTGGTAAGAGTGTCCAAGCCTCCGTGTCTATCTGAGAGGCTTTCCTGGAGGATTTGGTAGATGACCCTTTACGGAACCAAGAAGGAAGAGCTTTTGACTCAAATTCAGGCAGGTGACCAAGAATGAAAAGCTTGAAGATTCACTTACTGTTATTTGAGTAACAAAGATCATTTTCCAGAAATTTCTATGCATGACCTACTGTAAGAATGTTTCTTCACTTCCTTGAGAGCTAGCGACGGCCTGATGAGGGAGCAACACCTTAGGAGCCAGGGACACTTATGTTTGTTCCCAAGTCCGCAACTTGCTGCCTCTGTGACCCCTCTGAGGTTCAGTATCCTCATCTGTAAAATCGGGACAATATGTGATCACTCGTTGGGGACCTGGCTCACAGTAGCCATGCAGTGATAGCAAGGCTTCAGTTGTTTTCAAGTCAATTTACTGGAAGGCAGGGGTGCAGGGGAGCTCTGTAATCGAGATTCTACACCAGGTAACGGCTTCCAGAATCCACCATCTGCACTTTGAATCTTCCTGGATCCTTCGCATCATCTCTCTTGTTGCTTTGACTCTGCTGTTGTCTCCCATTTCAGTGAGGATCTATGACATAGCAGCCTGCTTGCCCCTGGCCTCCCACCATGTACCCCAACTCTCTCATGTACTGTACCTGCTGGGACCCATGGAACTTGGAGCCACGGAAACGAGTCAAGACCCCTCAACCACCGAATAAGAGCCCCACAGGGAAGCCCAGGTAAGGCTGGTGGGGGTTGGGGAGGCCTCGGAGCTTGGGCTCCCTCTACAGACTTCTTTGTCACATGAGATTTCCAAAACTATCTACTTGGTAGCAAAATCCCAAGAGAGCCAGGAAGCAAACTTAACAGCTTTCCTGTCAGCCTCTTGGCTGCCTGTTGCTCTTGATGGTCTGCCTAAGCTTAGTATCATTCTAGATGAGAACATCTCTGATTTACTGCAGAGCAGAAAGGGCAACTTCCCACCGAACGGCAACTTCCCTTCAACAGGGAACGAAGAACTGTTGGATGGGGGGCAAACTGCTTCTAACTCAGGGCCCCTCCGGGCGTGAACCATGCCAACATCTTTGACTTAAGGCTCCCCAAAAACACTGATTTTTTTTAAAGATGTATTTATTTATGTATACAAGAACTGGGGTACAGGCCAGAAGTACGGTGGGTGTGAGAGGGTTCACCAGAGACAGTGTGGAGAGCAGAACAGACTGAAATACACTGCTGAGGGGATCAGCCGGTGGATCAGGAGAGGTCTGCCACGCCATGTGGTCAGCTCCCTGGCCGGGGATCAAACGCATGCTGCAGTGCCTTCCGAGAGCTTCACAGTGCTGCACTTTAACCCATTGCACCACCAGGGAAGGCCAAGGCCACTCTGATCTTAAAGATTCCAGCCGTCAGACCATTCCAATTTGGGGCCACTGGAAGAATCAACCTAAGCTGGGGCTACTAAGTCAGATTTCTAAATTTCCAATGTTCTCTTTTTTATATTGTTTATTTTCATTTTCAGGTTAACGCCTCTTCCTCAGGCTACCAAAAAACGAAATTATATCCAACCAATAACAAAACCTGTTGCCACCCCAAAGTAAGTATTTTTATGTCCATGGGAAAGGAATGCCTTGAGGCATGTGAATAAAATAATCTTGCTCCTTGGCCTTCACAGCCTTGCTAGACTTGAGCACCCCTTCCAGGGATGTCAGAGAACTGCCAAGATGCACCAGGATTTCCTCCATGCCTCCTATGGGTAATTTTGTGTCCCTTTGTACCCACAGCTTGGAAAGTCACTACAAATAAGCTCAGCTGAGAGCGTCGTCTCCTGGCCTACAAGGGCACAGTGCCTGATGGCGTCACGAGCAGAGGGTGTTGGGAGACGCCTATGTAGTGATGGTGCTGACTCAACCCTTACTTTCCATATCTGAGGCTGTCTACCCATTGTAACTGCATTTATCCCTTAAATAAAATTTTTATCCATATTCTATAAGCTTGAAGTATAACAAGTTTTAAGCCCTTGCATGGATCTTTGTATTCCATTTATTCATTCATCTGGAAAACATTAATCGAAATACAAATTATTTGGAAATTATTCCTGAGCACCTGTTGTTTGCCAGACACTGCAAAACAGCAGTGGAGAGAGCTAAGTCCTTGCTCTCCTGGAGCTTGCATTCTAGTGGGGTGTTGGGGGTGAAGTATCAGTGAAGCAACTGTAAGCAATAAGCAATGTATTACACCCAAACCTGGCCAGAGGAGACTTTGGCCACCAGGTTAGGCCAAGGCCATTCTGATCTTAAAGATTCCAGCAGCCAGACCATTCTAATTTGGGGTCACTGGAAGAATCAATCTAAGCTGGGGCTACTACATCAGGTTTTTTAATTTCCAATTTTCTCTTTTTTATATTGCTTATTTTTATTTGCAGGCTAACACCTCTTCCTCTGGCTAAAAAAATGATGTGGGCAAAGACGAGAGGGCATGGTGATGGGGGGGTTGGGGACCCCTAATTTATATAAACCAGTTTGGGCAAGTCCCCTTGTCAAGGGGCCTTCAGGGAGCCTTGCTGATGTCTGGGCAGGGACTCCCAGCAGAGGAAACAGCACATTCAGAGGCCCTGAGTAGAACTCGCTGGTCACAGCTGGCCTTTTCCAGGAAAGCAAAGAGACAGACAGTGTGGTGGGAATAGACTCAGTGACAGCAGAGATGAGGACCACAGCCACCTGGAAACCTGACTGTCTTCTGTATTCACATGAGGCCACTTGAGGATACAGATGGAATTAAGTCAGCAGCCAGCTGACTTGGAGATGGGCTGGTATCCTGGATTGTTCAGGCAGCCCCGGGGTCATCACAAAGGCCCTTAAGCCTCAACTTGATGCACAGGTCAGATGGAGGCAGAGACCACGAGGAACATGAGTAGCTTCTGGAAGCTGCAAAAGTATGCAAATCAATTCTCCCCTAGAGCCTCCTAGGGGAACACATTTCTGTCAATAACACCATTTAGCCCAAGAGAGACTCATTGTGGACTTTGGCCACCAGAGCTATAAAATAATAAGTTGGCGTTGTTTCACTCACTAAGCTTGACGTGATTTGTTATAGCACCAGTTGAAAACTCATACAATAAAGTTGCTGGTTACCGTAAGGACCTTGGCTTAGACTCAAAGAGTTGAAATATTAACAGCGAGGGCCGTGTAACAACAACAACATAGACTTGGAATGGATGCCGTAAGCAATAGAAACTAATTTTTGCTCAATTCAGGAGTCTGGAGGTCAAAGGTCAAGGTGCCAGCCCAGCTGATGCCTCTCAGGACTCTGCTTAGCCTCTGATGTTCACCCTCCACTCTCTTTCCTTTGTGTCTTGTATCGGGGTGTGTCTCTGTGTGTCCTGCTCTCTCTCAGAAGGACACCTAAATGACAAGACTAGGGCCCCCCCAGCAGCCCAGAGCAAGTGTGAGTCATGTCCAGAGCACACTGGGCAGGCAGGCATGTGCATGAGGCAGCCAGGGGCCTGCGGTCACATGCCGGCCGCTCCTCTGTCGGAGACCAGCTCCATTTATTGAGGTGTCTGGAGGCAAGACAGGCAGGACCCTAAGGTGGGAAGGCGCGGCAAGCGGAGATTCCTAAAAAGGGGAGAAGGAGAAAAAGAGGAAAGGGGGGCGAGGAAGACACGGGAGTTGGAGTTGGGTGCAAGTCTTCCTGCCCTGCCTTCAGCAGAGGTTTATTTTATACATTAGGAGCAAGCAGTGGGATGACATCAGCACATGAACTGGGCTGAGAGATTACAATCATCTTTTTTTCTAAGAACAGTTTAGGGTCGTTTTGCCCTTTAGCTGAGATATAACATTCTAAAATCAATCAAGGTTAAAAACAGGTACATAGGTGCACAAAGTTTATGACTAATATTACTATAGTGGAGATCAACTAAGATAGAAGTCCCTTAAACCTTATCTACTACTTACTTAATGGGTTTTTGTTTTTCTGCCTGAGTCATCCTGGGAGACAGAAGAGGAAATTCCTTGTTAATCAAATCTCTGAATAGGAGGCATAGGTGAATTTCCTTATCTGAAGACTACATAGTAGAATCCTGAAAAACTAGCCAGAAGATTTTTGTGGATTCCTTTAAGGTGTAGCAGGTGGAAAACTTGACTAGTTTAAAAACAGGCAACCTGGATGAATTTACACATCTAAAGGCCAGACAATAGGAAGTTTGAGTAATTCTTTAGAAGCTGAATAGAAGGCTAGGTGAGATAATAGAATGATAAGATTTGGGTTTTCCTCCATCCATCCAGCAGGGAGAGAGACTTTGCAAAAACAGCCCTTTTGCTTTTATTTATCAGTCAGTAGTCAAGTCACTTGACTTCAGGAGAATTTTTCACCCTGGTGCAGTGCTTGCTTGTCAAGGCAGGCCGGCCTTGTGCGGCTGAGGCAATCCAATTGTAAGCTGAAAGTTGCTCAGAATATTTTGATATTACAGTTATACAAAAAAGGGAAGTCATAACATAAGTTAGCAGTGGAAAGTCTGATTTTTCAGAGCTTTTCCCGATCTACCCGGAATCTGTCAGACGATAGATGTTGCATAGCTTGTGTCACTTCTCCAGTCAGCGTCCAGCAGTTACGCTCTCCTCTACTGTCAACCTTCCGGCTGAGCTCCCTTAGGGATACGCTTTGGATCCTTGGGTAGTTGACATTAGGTTCATGTTTTTACGCCTGAAATCGAAATGAAAGATGAGCAGGGCTGAAAGCAGATCACAGAATAGTGGTCTTTAGTGTATCCTGAGCTCACTTAACAGGTCATTCCAGGGTCCCAGAACACCAGTTTCTGGAGCAAATATGAGAGACTGTTGTGAGACAGCACCCATCTCAGTCACGCCAGGGGTGGGGGTGTGCGGCGTGTGATTAGGAGCCTGTACCATGTTCTCAGAAACACCCGCAGCTCTTCACTCCCAGGCTCTCGCCCTTGTGTTCCGCATAGTTCCACTGTGACAGCAGTGAGAGAGGATTCCCTGTTTCTTACTACTTGCCATTTTATCATGATCTATATGCTGAAGCTCTCCAGATCATGACATTCCCTATATCCTGAAGCAGAATATTTTGAGAACAGAGAAATCATCCTGGAGACATTACTTTTTATACATGAGAAGTGGGTTCCAGGTGCGAATCCTAAGCCCCCAGTATCTCTTTGCTCCCTGGTTATTCTCTGCACCTGCCTTTCTCTTACAGAGGGAAAATCTCTTCAGGACAAAAGGAGAGTGATAAATTACCTCAAGTGAGTAAAAATGGGAAGGGGGTGGCAGGACTAACACTTTGTGCAGGCATAGGCCTTTACCCGTCCTCAACCTCCCTGCATCTTCGATGGTCACAGGAGGTTCAGAGATTGTTGCAGATAAAATGTGGCTGGTCACTTGCAGAACCAAGTCTTGAACTTGCTTCAGCCAGAACCCAGCATGGACATTTCCGCTCCCCAGTCTTAGATGGGACAGGCAGAGCATCTCAAAGAGGCGAGGCATAGGTCTGGTGCAGATACATCACCTGCCCAGATACAGGAAACCTGTGTCCACTCCAAACCCAGTGAGGGCAGCAGGGGCTGGAGTGAGCTAGAGGAAGAGCCGGGCCAAGTACAGAAGGAATTAGGGCCTAGTCCGGGTGTCTGACAGTCACCAGGCCAGGTAAGAGTGACATTTCAAAAAAAGCACCCCCCGGTAGGATTTTATTGGGGCTCTTGGCCCTGCCAGATCTGACTTGACCTTCGGTGCAGGGACAGAAGAAGAACTGACTAAAAAGGTTTTATTCTTGCAACTGTGCTAAGCATGTACTTACATGCTATTTGGGTTTTTTCTCCTAAGGCCCTCAAGGAAAAGTTATATCCTTATTTTCTGGTGAGGAAATCGGGGTGAGGAATTACTGAATAATAGTGGCTGTTATTCAAAACCAAGAAACTTATTTCTGAGCAATCTGTATCATGCCTGGCAGCCTCATGGCCTCTGGCTGTGATGGAGACTGAGACCCAACAGGGCTAGGGTAGTGAGGAAGGGCTATCGGTAATTAGGTTTCGTACGTGTTGACTAGAGAGGAGACACACAGAAGCCAGCTGATTGGGTCTCAGGAGAAAAATCTGGAGACACGAGGAAAGTGGCAACGGGGAGGATCCAGGAGTGTTTAGGGCTTACACCCCTCTCACCCTCTGCTGTGGAGCTGTAAGGAGGAGCTGCAAGTGTTCAGCACACCATCTGAAAGGCTGTCTTACCTTCCACCTCAAGGCCCAGGAGGAGATCCGCGTGCCCTCCTGCTTCAGCCTCCTTCAGAACAAGGAACGGATTTTGTCGGTCACCTTGGGGGAGAAGATGTTTGCTAGGAAAAAGCGGTTGGAATTAGACGTCATGAACAAAATGAAGATGTCCAGGTAAAGTCTTTGGACCGATATTCTGCTCCTCAGAGCCACCCCCATGGGTTTGGTCTGGCCCCAAAGACAGGCCCCTAACTGCCACTCCCAGACTTTCAGGGTCTCTTCTCTGAAGGGGCTGCAAGGTTCCCTCACTCTCCAGCCCTGCACTCACTCCTAACCACACCCACCTCTTAGCTCTGTCCCATTGGAGTCAGGATGATCTGATCTGGAAGATGACAGGATAGTAGTATATTTGTACTTAAGGAGAGCAATTGTGCTTGCAGGTAACAAACACACGGACTATTGATAAAATAGCCTGAGTTAGGCAGGGGAGAACTACGAGTAAATTCCATCTCTGGAAAACATAAGTAGGCATCTCTTTTTCATTATGTCCAAAGACACCATCCCGTGCATGTTTCTAGGAGATGCAGCGTGGAAGGTTCCGGCTGCCCCACCCCAGCAGAGCACACTGTTATCCTCTGCCATTCAAGACTCACCACGCTCCACCCACCAGGGCAAAGTGAAGCAAGAACCCACATCCTTTTTGTTAGACTGCTTTTGTTTCCTGCATCCCTCTCCTTCCTTAGCTGTTATTTCCTATCTGCACCATTGAGATGGCCCCAGTGCATGTCTTCTCCCTGGCTTTGGTTAGCTTGTTGTGAAAACTACTTCCTCAAGACCAAAATGTAAAAGGCCAACAATAGAAAACACACACAATCGGCCCTCCCTGGTGGCCTAGCAGGGTGAAGCCCTGCACCACAAGCTAAGCCAAGCCAAGCCTGGCCACTTCAGTGCCAGCTGGATCCCTGGCCCCGGAGGTGACCCACATGGCAGGCAGACCTCTCCTGACCTGCCCACTGCTACCCTCAGCAGTGTACTTCGTCAGTCTGCCTGTTCTGCTCCCCACTGTGTCTCTGGTGAATCCTCTCACTGCCCCTGCATCTCTGGCCTGTACCCCAGTTCCTTATGTATAAATAAATAAATCTTTAAAAACACACATTCACTTTCCAATTAAAGGGTAGAACCAAACTTGGCAGTGGTTTCATCTGGGAGGTGTTTAGTTGGGGATGAGGCTGAAGGACACACAAGGGCACTCACAAGTGAGGCCATTTGGGGGAGTCGCCTGATCTGACCTGGGCGGGCCCAGAGAAACCAGACCTGTGGGCCAGTCCCCACCTTCCAATAGGAAAATTCAATCCCTGTGATTCGACTGCCCCCTGCAGGAAGAGAATGAGCCTGCACCCACTGTCAGGCCAGCATCCACAGCTGCCTCCGGACCTCCTGAGAAAGTTTGTCACTAATTAAACATGATGCCCCATCCTTGTTTTATTCCCCCAAAAAGGCTGTGAGTATTTTTATATTGATGGTCATGTTCAAAAGATGGAAGCTCCCCCACTGTTCAGCTTCCCCACCCCCTTTCTGCTTTCCAGTGCCCAGGCCTCTCCCCTATATCCCCTCTGTTTTCTCGCCCCATTGGCGTCAAAGCCCTCCTCTCTCTGCTGCACCCATGCAGCACTCCCGCCACTCTGCCTACTTCAGCTCAACCAAACAGCCCTGACAAGTCTAACAGACATCACAGCACCCCCGACCCAGGAGCTCAGAAAACCATGATGTATCCTGAAGGCCACTCTCTTAAGCCCCTTTATCTGACTTTTGGCCCATCCTTGTGTATGACTCATTGTCAATAACAACACTCTTCACCCACCTTCTCATTTTCTTTTTTTAAAGATTTATTAATTTATTCGTATAGAACTGGAGTACAGGCCAGAGGTGCAGGAGCTGTGAGAGGTTTCACCAGAGAGAGAGGGGAACAGAACAGGCAGATTGAGGAAGTACACTGCTGAGGGGAGCAGTGAGGGGTCAGGAGAGGTCTGCTGCACCATCTGGGTCACCTCCAAGATCAGGGATCGAACTCGCACTGAGGTGGCTGCAGCCAGCTTGCAGTGTTGTGTCCTAACTCATTGGTGCCACCAGGGAGGGCCCACCTTCTCATTTTCTAACCTTCTGAATCACTCCCTCCTTCCTTACAGCTATCACTGCTGAATCAAGGTCAAGTCTTAGTAGATTTCTAATATATTCTTCTTTCCTTCTATTCAGTCAGGTACTAATTACCCCTGCTCTCTTCCCACTAGTGGCTCTGAGACTCAGCCACTCCCCTGCCATATTCCTTCTCTCAGACCACCTTGCTGCCCCTCTGGCCCATCATGAGGCAGCAGGTACACACATGACCTGGTTCTCACTAGGCCAGGCCAGCCATCCCCAGGGCAGGTTCTGTGGATGACAGAGGATTACTCACCCCACAGGACTGACATAATCGCTGACCTAGAGGAGCAGATCTCAGAGTTGATGCTGATAATAGAGCAGATGAACAGAGACCACCAGTCCGCCCAAAAATTGGTGAGTGATTCTGGCGTTAACTAACACTTCCATGGGGAGGGGCAAGCCCAATGTTTGCAGGTCACCTGCCATGAGCCAGGCCAATGCCAAAGGCTTAACTCATGGTAACAATGTTGTCCATATCTCCATTCTGAAGAGAAGACTGTGACATCCCAGAAGTATTTTTCTGACTCTAACTTCATCTATCATTGCAAGAGTTCAAGTTCCTCCTCAAGGCCTAACTCAATTTCCAGGATCTCCAAGTTTCTCCCAAGTGTTCAGTGGGTGTCAACCACCTTCCTACTGAATGGGCCTATTATGGCCTTTGTGTGGAGTTAAAACACAAGGCTGCTGAGATTCTTGTTAACATCACTAGTATGGCTAGAGCATCTAATGTTGTTCAGAAGCTTTCCACATCCTGTTCCTATTGACACGGTCAAACCCCACACTGCAGAAGCACTGATATTAATTCACACATTGTGTGTCCTGGGGAGTTGGGTAACACCTCCTCTAGATTTCACCTGCTCTTTCATCAGGTCTCTTCCTCCCTCCCTGGAGCAGATGTGCCTGGTGAACTGAGCTGGAGTGAGGAGCCAGAGCAATGCTCAAAAATACACACATATGTACACACACACACACACACAC